GCATGTTAACCAGTAACATACTGGATTTATGTGGCTGTATGCATGTAAGTGTAATAGTAGTGAGTAGGGTGAGTGAACTTTTGCAGAGTGACTGCATTTTTCTTTATCCCAACCCATCTCTCTTAGCCTCCCCCTCCAACCATGGTCTCATTATTTAACATGTTATAATTTTGCATAGGAAATTACTTGTTTGCTGCATGGTAGCCAGTAGATACCTTACCGGAACGATGCCCATCCGTTACCAGTAGCTCCGCTGGCTTGCACCGGTAGAATTTTATTCCCTTCTTTATTTTAAGTATTGCGGCACAGTAGGTGAGGTGTTTCCCACCTCTAGCTAACGTGTATAGTGTGTGTGTGTGTGTGAGTGACTAAATTCGTGAGTTTGTCTGTTGTGTTCGCTACCGTATGAAACGATCAAAGGAACTATTCGAGGTGGATGAAGTCCATGAAGTGTAGATCCTCTAGAATGAGAAGAGGCAGTGCCTTTATTTAGTTCAGAGTCACATCCGCCAAGTCGTAGTGTTGTTAAACTGACCTTTGTGGCTTTTTATACGAAGAACGCATGTCGGGATAAAACCCACCACATCCTGGAACACTGCTGCCTAACTATTCGCTGGAACGGGATTAGCCTGAACCACCCAGCTGGCACCACGTGGAGGTTGTTCGGCTGGCCAGCCAACCATATAATTAGGGTTCATCAATGCAAAGGTTGTAGCTGCCTCATCTCTGGGCAACTGAAATCCCTACCTGTGGTTAATGCAGATCAGAGAGTGCAGTAGTTGGTAATTGGCGAGACTGAGCCAGTCGCACTTTAACAGGACTCTATGTTGGTGTTATACTCTAGTACCTCCGTGCTCCATATATCTGGGTGGACCTTGCTGAGTCTGTACACAGCATCAGATCGTTCAACCAGCGACAGGTGCAATGGTTCTACACCTCATCCCATTTTAGGTAAGCTGTGCCTATGTTTACAGGACAAAATCGTTCTGTTGTCTGCGATCAGTGAACAGCTGGATTTTCCAGAGATGCACGTTTCATGACATGCGGAATTCAGGATGTCAAACAGACAGAGACTGTGCTTCTTTAATGCCTTCTGGTGAACGTCTGAAGTGCTATTTGTCTTCCAATTTGTATCGAAGTTAATACACAGCAGCAGAATGTGGGTCATCCATTTTCTTTTCCCACCCATATTCCCCCAGACTGTGGGTTTGGGGGAAATACATCGATGGTGTGGTCTCTGAATAGTTGTTCTCTGTCATTCGACTGACCAAGCGTAGGACCATTTCTACAGTTGCTGATAACATGTTTGCCCATGTGTCTAATGCCATCACACGAACACCGCCTCGACAGCCGTTTCCGAGTCGTTGCCTATCGGTTTCGTCAGTGGGCACTGTCCGCAACCTCTGTATCTACTACAGAACACTTATACAAGAACGTCCAGCATTACTGCATATTGGTCACCGAATGAGTGCTGTCAGTGACCCAAGCTGACCACTTCGTCATCAAATACATGTGGCGCAAATCATCCCATGAGTATAGATTACACGGTACTACCGGCATCAAACTGGCTCATCTCATCTTGTTCTACCACGTAGCACCCACACGTTTGGCTCCATTGGAATTCGTGGATCCGAGGTGACTTGCTATTCGTCTGTAGCTACACTTGGAACAATACAACTCTCATGTAGAATTGCCATAGCAGTTGCTTCCAGAGAACGAGCAACTTGAGGATTGATACGGATTGAATCATTTCAATACGATACGTAGAAGTAATTCTAGACCAATTTTTCGCGCAGCATGCGGTGTCTCAGGGGTGGATTGATCTATGGAGCTACAGTAGATTACTTAACGCACGCATCGGATGGTACAGTTTTGATGTCAGTTTCAAATTCGCCGTAATGATGCCAAATGATATCATTCTGTGCGTCTTCGAAATCGTGCATAATGTGAATCGATGAGATGATAATAGCAAGTTTCCACACTAGGAACCTCAGAAGTCCCCCCAATTTATTCGACGCAAGTTAATTATGAGGGGAGAAAGATATGCAGTTATACTCATGGAATTTGTTGGACGTTTCCGCAATCTAATCACAACTGCTTCGGAAACCAAGGGGGTCCGCTCCACCAATCCCCCGTCATTCATCCGGAGTAGAAATCGAAAGCGTATGTCAATAAGGAACGCAGCTTGCCATACCTACAGAGCTCATCCTCGTCCCGAAATCTGCTGCGATTTGGTGACTCAGCGTAACAACTGTAACATGATTGTCCGTGATGACAAGCATTTGGCCTGTTAGTTGGCCAACAACACATAGCTCCTATACAAGCATGTTAACACCATCCGGAAAGTGAAGCTCGATATGTCCCCACTTAACACGCCAATCTGAGTGGCACTGAGTGCAGAAGAGGCAGCCAACGCCCTACGAATGCAGTATGCCCCAACCTTCCAAAAAGATGTCCACCAGTGTTCCTTAGTCTGCATCCTTATCGCCAAGGTCAACACACACTACCATCGATTTTACTGCCACAGCTGTGTTGAAGAAAGCGCTGTCACTACGCACCTATAACTCTCCCGAAATCGATTAGCTTCACCCAAGGGCGCTGAATGTAGCAGCAACAACGCTGGCCGGGCCATTATCGCGTTTCTTTCAAACATGCTTGCATAAACAAATTGTGCCCACCATGTGGAAACATGGTGTATTCACTGCGACTACAAAAGCGGTAATCGCGCGGAACACGCCAACAATCGCCCAGTGGTCCCACTGCCTGTGCTCTCAAAGGGGATTGAGGCGATCATCGCTGAGACTTTAGTAGACCACCTAGAACACCAAAACATCATAGCACCCCAGCAACACGGTTTCCACCAGCACCGTTCATGCACTACCAACCTACTGATTGCACGCAGCAGTTGAACCGAAGCGGCCGATGAAGGCAGAGGGATAGAGGTCATTTACCTCGAATTCTCCAAAGCCTTTGGCAGATTGGACCACCGCATACTGCTTCCCAGACTCGAAAGTTATGGAGTTGGTGATCCTGTCGCCGGGTGGATCAGGAATTTCCTACAGCATCGGCAACTGCAGGTCAGAGTTCGAAGTGCGCTCTCCGATCCGATTTATGTCGAATGTGGAGTTCCACAATAATCAGTTCTGGAGCCGCGTATGTCCCCGTGTTCATTGACGAGCCTATGCGTTTGATCACTTCAGATTTCCTGCTGTTCGCCGAAGATGTTATGATGTGGCGGAAGATCGCCGACCCAGCATATCACGATGCACTTCAGAGAGACTTGGACAGAGCGTATGGGTGGTCACTGCACAATCTGCTCCAGTTCAATTCGGGGAAGTGTAAGGTGGTTCACATTCGCCAACAGCCGAACATCAAATACAAGTTTGGAGATCATGTCCTGCAAGCAGTCATCCAGGTGCGCGACCCTGGGGTACTAGTCCAGATTGATCTGGGCTTCTCAGAACAACCAGAGTAGGCGTCAAAGATCGGGAACCAACGGGTTGACATGCTGCGGAGGGCATTTGGGCGGTTCGATCCCTCTGTCTGTTCGCAGTTGCTTAACACCTACGTGCGGCCTCATGTGAAATACCCGATCCAGTTGTGGCCGCCTTGGCACAAACAAGATATTGCAACGCTCGAGACTACACAGCGACGAGCCACGAAGCACATCAAAGGGTTGTTCAATCTTCCTTATTATCTTAGACTGAGGACCATTAAATTATACAGTGACCAGTACCGGCACCTGGGTTGCGACCTTAGTATGGCTCACTAGGTTCTAATGAACTCCAACCACGTCTGCCGTCATCTACTACACCTGAGGGACAACACGAATTTGAGGGGCCACCAGTTCAAGTTAACCACGCAATACAGCCGGTTAGAATGTCAACGGAACTTTTACTCTCTCCATGTGTGTCAGCCTTGGAACGCCCACTGAAATTACGTTGTTTCCGCCCCCACTTTATCTGTGTTTAAAAAACGCCTTGATGTTGCCCTAAGCCACCTACACTACACGATATAGCCAATTCAGTTGCTCATTTGTTCGCCGAGCTGCGAAATTGGTTTGCAAACGTTTCACCGTCATGCGAGACGGCATCATCAGTGAGTCGAGATGTGGGGTGTAATCTCGCACATCTGGACGCATTGATGATGCCGTCTCGCATGACAGTGAAACGTTTGCAAACCAATTTCGCAGCTCGGCGAACAAATGAGCAACTGAAGTATCAACCCGAACTACCAGTTTTCCAACACATTTTAGATAGAGCCAGTGTCTCGACAGACGATCTAATGCGACGAATGTTGCACAACTAGAATTAACCTACACAACTCTGGTTGGCTTTGTCTGCGTGGCTTCGTGTTAACACTGTGGTGAGCCCACCAAAACGATTTTCATTTTATCCCTGTTTTCTATTCACCATGTTGTGGTTCTCTTTTTGGCCATCTTACGTGACTTGCGAAGCATCCGCTTATTTGCCCGTAATATATCATTGTTCCATTTGGCGCTACCATCACATGGTTACTAACTCAGGGGTATGGTTCCTCAGAAAAGTTCACTTCCTCAGGCATACACTATCTCTACACCTGCCTGATATGGTAACATTGACTGCCACGCAGCGTTTTGTGTTCTGTTTTGACTTATCTTCCGAAATCTCAGTTTCCACAAAGGGATGTGATTGTGAAATTCACTTGCTTAATGAAGCTTCTAACGATGTAGCCATCATAGCCGATGCAGTTAGTTGTATGGGTGAAACGATCGGCCACTTCAAACGGCCATTCGGTGCCAATGAGAACTGATGGCGCATCATCGTATCCCTCTAGCGGCATCTTGTATTCACGGAGCTCATCCGCTACAGCGCCCGGTGGATATAAATCGAATCCCTGTCTTTGCGATGTTCTCTTGACATAGGCCTGCGCCGGCAGTAGTATGATCGTTACTTGCACTAGACTTACACGGATGCCCTAATTTTATATATATGTGATTCTTGCCTACACTTATCTTACAGGCAGTGGAAGTGAAAAGATTCGGAAAAGTAGAAATACTGCAACATCAGTCGTACGATATCATTAGCCTGTTCCGATCAAAATATTTCCAATTGTCCACTCCACTGAAGCATAATGGCCAACTGAAATTCCACTTCCTTATCGGATGGAGGTAAGACGATTTTCCTTTCAGACAGTTACTTGTTTACTTCACTTGTTCTCGGTGAGTGTATGGTTCACTGCGTAGTGTTGCGTAAATCGTACTCTCCATTTCAAGTTGCCCTAGGTTTGCTGGGTGCATCCACATAGTTGACTTCCGAGCAACTACAGTCATCACGACTTGGATGCGATTGCACGACTGCTGATACTCCCCGCGTTACACTTCTTATTCGTCTCCGCTCGCCCTCTAACCCTTGTACATAACGTAGCCGTCCGGATGTTGGAACCTCGAAGGTGCGTAATACGATCACGTATTGGATGTACCCATGGACGCCGCGGATTTTTGGATTACCCTGCTGGATTTCACTTTTGCTTCGAGATTACTCTGTTATACGTGATTTTCTGTGGGAATGGTGCACCAATATTTCCGTTAGTTGTATTTTTCAATCTGTACACATTTGGTGGATATTCTCTGGCTAATTTCGGAGTTCTCACTGATTGGCCCAACTGCCGCCTGTGTCTACCATTTTGGATTTGTTCCACGGTAATCGGCCACCTTGAACACCACACCGGTAACGCGAAACGAAGTGTTTGGTGCTAATCAAACTTGTGCTAAGGTAGTAAAAGTAGGGTTGTTTTGTAGAACTTTCCAAGACCGGTACCATACGAAGTGCGTCAACGTCTACAGAACCGACATAAAGAAATACAATACACCGGATTCACTTTGGTTCTGTTCGAAGTGCACGACGGTTCCACTAGTAAAATGCGTATTAGCTTTAACACAAATGTTCGACAGCCTCGTCGTTGAAACTGCACATCGTTAGAATGCAAAAATTGATTCGCTTAACTAGACAATATCGCATCCTGTACCTCATCCGTCTTCCTCAATTGCTGTCACGAAACCAAGGAAAAAGGCCGGGTGTTCACAGGACCTTGCGGTACTAGAAACCTTGGGAACCACAAACCAAGTCGTCATCGCGACCGATAGAAACATACCTAGCCCACATTCTCTTATCCAATGTATTGACTGATGCAACATCGGTAACACCCACTCTTCTGATTGAGCAACGAAATCCGAGGCAACCTAAAGACCGATCCATCTATGCTACCGTTGCTGTTCGGTATAATCGAAGTGCGACCTCAGTAGCCTCACGTAATACAGCCAAGAAATGGGTCAAGGATCAGATACAACCTACAGAAACGTCACTAAATCCCTCGATAACCGTGCTTCCCACGTCACCGATGACCAGGTGGAACTACGGGGCCTTGCACCAACGTTTCTGAGTGAAATACATACTCCTTAACGGGTAAGCAGCTGGATTTAAAGCAATGGAATCTCCTTTGTGGAAAAATCGGAATTCAAGCCAGTCCGACTAACATAATGCGCATCACTAGACATCCAACCACGAATCCTTATGGGAGTCCCGGCTAATTCGAATAACATTGGGATCAATAGATGATGTCGAAACGGTGCTTTTGTTGGCATACACCCTGCGGACTGAAAACAGTGGAATACGCATATTTCTGGATGTGCCATGGATCGAACGCCAGCCGGACAAAAATAATTCCAACGACCACCACACGGAGAGTACCAAAAGGATAATTTTCATTCATGACTTAGCCGAGCTACAGACAACTAGTAACGAAAAAGCGCACGCTCATGACCTAGAAGAAGGACGTTATATCTGTGAAGCTCTCTGTGCGGGAGACGTCATACTTCAGAGGATTATACGGTTATCCGTGTCGCCAAACTACAAAGGCAGGGGCCGGAAGATACTGAAACTAACGGTGCAGTCACAACAAATGGCCGTGAACTTAATCCGTAACTGGCAGTTACTACGCAACACATTTCCTTCGAAACTTCGACTGAAAACAGCAGTTGGAGCTGCAGCCACTCTCTGTTCCCGCGGAAACGAAACCACCCGCGACTCAATATAACCCCAACAGCAATTCAGAAACCTGTGCGCTAAGACCCGTAGCTATGGAGAAGGCTGCCCATGGGCTACATACCACAGATGCAAGTGAGACCAAATGCAGATTGCATTCATATCTAGATTTGGCAATTCACCCGAAAACGATTAGGGGGCGGCTACTTACCAGTCGGCACAAATCCACATCATTCATGCGCTCTTAGTCAACAGCTTTTGACATCCGAGTAGCTTATCTGTATGAACACTAAAGCTCTAAGATTACTGAGTAAACTAGGCGAAATGCGGCTGCGTCAAGGATCAAAATCCTGCGACCTCACTGCTGTAACGGAGATAGTGTTACGCCCTGACATAAGTGACATGGAGCTCGCACTACCAGGCATGTCCATTGTTGGGCACGATCGACACAGTATAGGTGGACGGGTAGCTCTGTACCTCCGCAATGACTTCCAATGTGAGCTCATCGAAGATCCGGTCAACACGGTACAAGATTTCCTATGGTGCCGTATACGTTTAATAGGAGAGGACATTTGCTTAGCGGCAGTCATTTACCGCCCTCCTTCCTCCACGCCCGAGAGGACTTCCATCTGGCATCTACGATAAGGAGGGTGATAAACACAAGTTGCATTCACATTCTCATTACTTGCGATTTCAACATCCACGCTCTCGAATCCCAAGAAGCTCCCGGAGAACACTTTAAGGCGGATTTGCAAGAGTTTGTCTCCATTTACCCGATGTATGACCACATCAACTCTCTTATCCGATTCCGAGAAAAAGATGTGCCTTCGATACTGCCTCGGTTATACACCAACGAAGAACTATTCCTCGAGACGGTGCTGGTAGACATCCCATTGGGTCGCTGAGATCATGCAATACTACTCTTAGAATATATTTGCTATGCAGGATATCCCGTGGTAATTGGCGGCGCAACCAGAACGTATGTATCCTGCGACATATTAGCTCGACTAGGTGAGACAGCCAACTGTACATTTATGACAGTCGAGGCACCAGCTAGTGTATGGGAACATTTCATCAGCCAGTTTAACTCTCTGGTTGCCGAAGCGTCAGCCACTATGACCTACCGCTAGAGAAACGTGGTTTCGTTTCTGCGAAGCAAGGCACGTACGTGTATAGCGGTGAGAAACTCAGCCTGGCATATCCACAAACTCTCCCCAAGCACCGAGAATTGGATGGCGTATGTGAGCCAACGTAACCACTGTACTCAGCTTTTTCGCGAGGATAGAATGGCGTACCAGCAGCTGTTAGCAGTGCGTATGGCCGCAAACCACAAACTACTATATCAACACGTCAACATGCTACTTAATCTGAGACGGGGAATCCCTCCTCTTCAAACAGCACACGGACTCACACGGACTCTGAAGAACGCGACGAATACTCTGCGCCTGCAATATGCTGCAACACTTCAGTGCGATCACTTGCCACTTAACCCTATGACGATGGTTGTTTTACCCCAAAAATGCACTTATATATCGTTCACAGCAGAAGCTGTACTAAAACTTTGGTTGAGTATGCGCAAACACAGCTCTCCTGGAGTTGATAATATAAACACGAACTCGTTAGCGGCAGTAGGAGAGCGTTTATCTGAGCCTTTGGTTCGATTCCCCGAACATCGTTTTGACGAAAGGTATGTGCCCCACGTGTGGAAATACGCAATGATTACTCCTATTCACATGGGTGGTAGTCGTTCCAATCCAGCCAACTACCATCCCATAATTTTAGTATCAGTTCTTTCAAATGTCATGGAAGCTATTATCTCTGATGCGTTAACGGCCTACTTGGAAGAAGTTAAGTACACCGCACCGGAACAGCAAGGCTTACGACGAAATTGATCAGGCATTACAAATGTCCTACTAGCACGATCCAGCTGGAATAAAGTAGTAGACTCTGAAACAGGAGTTATCACAGCGTTTCTCGTCTTCTCTAAGTAGTTCGACCGGTTAAACCATAACATTTTGCTCTTCAAACTCCAGATCTTTGGTATTGGTGATCCTCTGCGAGGATAAAGCAGAAGCCTCCTTCACCGGCGTTTAGAGATACGTGTGCGTGAAGCGCTGTCAGCTCCCATCCGAGGTGAATGCGGAGTACCACAAGCATCGGCACTAGGGCCGCGATTATTTTTGGCGTATAGTAACGCGATCACGCGCATCATAAGTTCGAACTGTCTTCTTTATGCCAATGACATCTGGGTGGGAAATGCGATCAATACGCCAGACGATGTCACAGTATTTCAAGCGGATCGGGATAGGATTTAGGCGTGATCAATCCAGAATCTACTTGATTCAATGTAGGCAAATGTGGAGTGCTGCACCTATGATACAAGTTGATACGCTCCTACGAACTCGGCAACCAGGAGCTTCAGACGTTTTCTGGCCAGAGTGATCTGGGAGTTTTAGGCCAGGTCCACTTTGAGTGTCCGAATTAGACTAAAACGGCGTCAAGAAGGGGCATCCAACACGTGGACCTCCTGAAGCGTGCATTCAGACGATTCGACCCTTCGATTTTTCCACAACTTCATGCCTTATACTTACGGCCACATATGGACCACTCAATGCAAATCTGGAAGTGTTGACTGAGGAGAGATCTCACCGCCTTGAAGATACCCTAACGTCGGGCAAGCAAAAGAATCAAGTGTCTGTATAATTTACCTTATGAACAAAGGCTACAAGTGTTCGGGATCTTCAGAGGAGAGTATCGGCGATTGCGTTGGGATCTCATTTTGACTTACAGACTTTGAGAGATTCCAACCACACATGCCGCTAGTTGATAGAACTCAGCCACAACAGCAATGTGAGAGGCCACCATCTCAAGCTGGCAGAGCAGCACGGTCGTTTGGAATGCCTTGGGAATTTCTTTTCCGTACGCGTTTGCCATACGTGGAATGCCCTACCGGAATCTGTCATATGTGCTCCCAGGTTGGCAGAGTTCAGAGCCCGCGTTGCTCGTGCATTTATTTCGCAGCACCATCTTACATGACCCATTACTCATGGATTAAGACAAGTGGCTTCAAGAGATTTCACTGGAGGTCAAATTCCAGATTCCCTTCCACGTTTTTCACCTCCTCTAT